TGACTGCTTAACATGGCGATAAGATAGCAGAAGTAACTAGACCAGTTATGCCGTGTTTTAACCTTGGAAAACATAGCTAATGCCAATGATTGCTATTAATATGATCCTAGTTTCTTTTAGAGGTTCAGTAATACTTTCAAAATTTCTCCAATATTTTTGTTCAAAATAAGAACTAAAGGAGAGGCAGCATGTCACAGTGAATAGAGAGACACCTGAGCTGATGTCCTGCCTGTGACTTATGGCTGGCATACAACTTTGAGAATCCAGGGACAGCCTCATGCCAAAATTAATATCAGCTTCAAATTTTAGTTGGGGATATATGACACACATTTCCATGTGTGTATGTAGACTGCATAATAGCACAGATCCTTGTTAGTATGTGAGGCATGTCAAGCTGTAGCAACATGGTATGACTTAAGGACATAGGTAAACTTTTCTATTTGCTTCATTGTTTTAAAGCTATGATGGGTCTTAGTTTAATCCCTGCCAGATGGTACAGTGGATGGAGTGCCACTCCTGGAAGCAGGAAGACCTGAGTTCAAATTCAGCCTCAGACATTTACTAGCTGTGTGACTCCAGGCAAGTCACTTAGTGCTGTTTGTTTCAGTTTGCTAAACTGTAAAAATGAGCTGGAGAAGGAAATGGCAAATCACTCCATTATCTTTGCCAAGAAAATCCTAAATGGCGTCATGAAGAGTCAGACACAGCTGAACAACGGTAACAGCAAAGTCTAACTCCCCACCCCTTTTTGTTCAATTAAAGAAAACTGAAACTCAGAGAGACGTAACTTATCCATGGTTGCACGTGTAGGAAGTGACAGAGCTGGGATTTGAACCCCATTGCCTAGCCAAAAAACCCAACCAAAACAAAACAGAACTTGGTCAGACATTGAACTTACCAAGGTCACTCATTGTATCCCAGGCCACTGCCAGTAGCCCTGACTTTCATCTTGCCACTGGACTTCGATGACTCAGGCAGAGAGAGTGAGCCTGACAACTTTGTGCAACTCTGTTTCACTTAATCCAATTTACACACAAGTCAAGACATGACCCCATTATATTACTGGTCCTCTTTGAAAATGGAGGATGAAGAACAATAACAATGTTCCTCTGGGCAAATTATTAAATTTCCTGAGCTTTAATTTCTTCATATATGCAATTGGACTAGTAACATCTACTCTGCCAATGGGATGAGATTAAATATATTTTTAAAAAATTACCTGCAGTTTACATTCTTTTTCAATTGTGGGCTAAAATACATGCTGAAGTCATTTCCAAGTCTAAAATTCTGTGATTCTTTTTCAACAAAGGTGATCAGCGGAACCCTCCAAACCTGATATAACTTCCGTGACCTTAGGATTATGGGGTTTGGCTCTCTGGGGAGCTACATATGTTCTGGTCCTTAACTAAAGGATAAACATAAATAGTAGCTCCTGGTGGGTTCCTGTGTTTCTTCATGACTGGCAGCTGTGTCAGAAGGGAGCCCATTGTTTGGGCTACAGTCAGTGGTGTGCTGGTAACTATTTAACAACTGGCTCCTCTGGTGGGAAATGTGCTTAAGTTAACTCTTTATTGTTTCAAAGTTATTCTAACAGTGAAACTGCAAACTACCACCAAATAAGCATGTTTAAAGTTAAATATTACTGACATTTTCTCCATTACTTTCTTAAGTCTAAACAATTAACAAAACAATAAATGAAACGTTTGATTTGTAGCATGTTCTGATTTCCAAAGTATAAATGCTCAAGCTAACTATTCCCTACATTTATGGGGACTTTTTTGATCCCTCTAATTGTTAGCACTCATTCCCCCCACATCCCCAAAAATGTTTATTTTGCATATATTTTGTTTCTATTTATCCATAGTCATGTTGTTTCCTGCCAATAGAATGTAAGGTCAATAAAGTCAGGAAATCTTGTAATTTTTGTCTTTGTGGTTTTTTATCATAGCACAATATTGGGTACATAAAGTATTTAATAAATGCTTATCACATTGAGTTGAATTATTATCATGAAGTGAGCCATATGCATAAAATTAGGGGAGTTTTCTCAGACATGTGTATTTATTTTACTAAGTTTATGACAATCCATCACAAAACATGCTGTGCTTTGGAGTCTCAATATGTTTATCTTTCTTTCTTTCAGCAGTCATTCTAGATTTTAATTTTTGGTTCTCACATTCTTTGTTCCCAAAATGACCTGAATCTGGCATCATTTTTTTTGGCAGCTTAAAAAATATTGAATGCTTCATAAGATGTCAGGAAAAAAAAAAAGGAGAGTTTGTGTACATAGTCACATTTACACAGGGCCAATGGCTACAAAACTAGCATGATGAGACTGGACATTTTGGCCAATTTGAATTCATCCAGCTTACTCTATGATTGTTCAGTTCAAGTTCATCTGGAGAGAATACCCCCAGGAGGGTGAACTGACCAATTCTGCCATCATTGCTTCAGCTGCATCAATACCTATAATGTTTGAATCCCACACCGTATTCTCTCTTATCTTTATTGACTCTGTGCAACTGGACATCACTAACCCTGCCATTTTTCAAATTATAAACATAAACATCTTTTAGCCTTTGAATATGGGAAGCAAATAGATATATCTGGACAATAAATTATTTAGAGGTGACCAAAATAATTTATTTGACCATGGTGTCACACACTGAATCTGCAAGGGGTTCATCCAGTGAATTAAAAAAAAAATCAAAAATACTGTTCGTTGTTGTTCAGTTGTTTCAGCCATGTCTGACTCTTCGTGACCCCCTTTGGGGTTTTCTTGGCAAAATACTAGCATGATTTGCCATTTCCTTCTCTAGCTCATTTTGTAGATGAGGAACCCAGGCAAAAAGATTAAGTGACTTGCCCAGGGTCACACAGCTGAGAAATATCTGAGCCCAGATTTGAACTCAGGAAATGAGTTTTCCTGACTCCAGGCCCTTCACTCTATGCACTGAACCATCTATCTGCTCCATTACTGTTTACTGACATGTAAACAAAAAATAAACTTGAGTGAAGTTGTTACTTTTAATTTTTTTTAATGAGAAGCTTAAAACCTTTTCAGACCTTGCTTTATAACAAAATTACATGTGTGTGTTTGTATGTATTATATATTTCATATGTTATTAAATGTATATTTTATTGTGCTTATGTATATATGTATGTGTGTGTGTGTATATATATATGTTCCATATATATATATATATATATATATGGAACATATATGTGTGTTCCATATATATGTTCCAAATACATATGTTCCATATATATATATATGTTCCAAAATAAAAGATTTTTCTTTTCAAAATAAAGCTAGAATGTGGCTAGTTTGGGAGATGACCACCAACCTTTGCTCCTGGACTTAGTTTTATCTTGCTGCTTTCCTCCTTGGCTCTCCTCACCTCCTTCATTCCTCTTCCCCACCCCCAACCTGGATTCATCCAGAAGTGAGAACCTTAAAAAAGCTGTAGAACCCAGAGCCATTGCAACTTTTTAGAAGAGCAGCTATTACAGTATAGACTAATTCAGTGTAATCTAACCATCTGGACAAATAAGAAGGCAGAGGGAAGACATGCTCCAAGCTAGAATGTCACCCAAGCTCTGAGACCAGGAAGTTGAGTTCAAAAATAGACTTAGACCAGAGGCCATCAGCTCTTTATCCAGGAACATTTCAGCTCCCAGTTCTAAAGAACTGATCCCTGGGGCCAAGGATCCTGTGTCAGATATGAAATCTTCTTTAAAAGGAGATTCTGGAAGGAACACAAGAGGCTACTATTTAAAGGTGGGGGTTGGGAGTGGGGTGGGGAGAATGTGGAAATCACCCTCTTCCTGCTAGGAAAACTCTTGCTAAACTGAAGGCTGCTGCTTTTCCCAAATGAATGCAAAAAGTTTTGAAGCTTTAAATTAAAAGAATAAAGCAATCCCATTCCTTTCGTGAGTAAAAGAGAATGCCATGGTCTAGGACTTGAGCTGAAGTCAGAAGCCAGAAATAAGGAGAAGCAGACAACTAAGTGACACAGTGCACAGAGAGCTTGACCTAGAATTGAGAAGACCTGAGTTCAAATTTGACCTCACATACTTCCTAGGGGCATGACCCTGGGCAAGTCACTTAACTGCTGTCTGCTTTAGTGCCTCATCTGTAAAATAGGGAGAATGATAATAGCACCTACCTCCCAGGATTGGTCATTGTGGGGATAAAATGAAATATTTTTAAAGAACTTTGCAAACCTCAAAGCACTATGTAACTATTATTTCTAGTTATGATTATGATTATTCTAATACCGCACGCCCAGTAGGTTTCTACTTGGCAGCTGACAGCAGAGACTATACGTGTCTCATGGAGCTGTGTTGGACAGAGACCATATCCAATAGAGAAATGTCTGAAAAAGACAAGGGAACTGGTAGAACATCTAGAATAGACATACCCCTAGAAACAAGGCACCTTACACAGATGACACATTCCGTAGAGACCCAAAGTGAGCAGTGCGTTGACAACACCAGAAGACACCAATTGCTATGTAGCACTGGAGGTATGAGTTGCATCTCTACGTTGGTGCCCCCCAAAAACATATTTCTTTCATGCAGTCCCCTGCAGGCATGTATCATGGTTACACAGGCTCCTTAAGTTTGTTCATTCTTCACCCTAGTTTGTGTGTTATACACATGCCTCACGTTTATAAGGAATATTTACTCTCAAGCTTCTTGGTTGAACCCTCATATTACTTCAGTCTGGAAAGGTATGGATGTGCAGGGGGTATATGAAGAGCTAAGGAAGGTACCAGATACTAAACATTTACCAGATCCCACTGTGCCTGTCAGTTAATGAACTTTAATCTTATTTACCAACTTTGCTCTTTGAAATGATCCTCAAAGGTTGTGAAATACAAGAATGCCCTAGAATTCATCATGACACAATCTTTGCCCCACTCCCCCACAGGCGCCTCATCTGCTTTGCTCTCCTCTAGGGGAAATTCCCCCAGAGTTAGGTAAGACAACGGCTAATGACCAGCTACCAGTCATCCGTGGAACAGTGTAGAGTCTGTCTGCCTCAGAGGATAAAAATGCAAGGGGCCTCTTTTCATGCAGGTTTAGTTCATGGCTATGTCTATGAAATGCCAAATATTCAAATGAAAATTGGAAATGTGAGTCCCTCACCCAGATATTCCTTCAAATATCCAAAGGTTTGGTACCATGTAGACACAATCCATGATGGCAATTAAATGAATAACACAAAAAATTCCTCATGGAGTCATATCTAGGATATTCTTCTTAGAGGGAGTCAGGGCCACCCTGTATTCTTAGGATCAACAAAACGTCCACTATGGCAACAGACAGAACAAGGCTGGAAGCATGGGAAAGACCTTTTTAAATGATGCTCTGTGTGAACGAGGATTATTATTGAGCGTCCAAGAGGGATAGGCACTAAGGGGAAAATAAACTTAGAATATATGCATCTTGTTCAGTTCCTTAGGTTGATGGATGAAGAAAGTGAGGTCAGGAGAGTGACTTGTTTCAGGTTATGCATCTAATAAGTGGCAAAACTAAGACCCAGAGATGCAATTTAACTAAATTTAGCAGAGGAAAGGAAGAACAAAAAGCAAGTTCTAATCTACTTATTTTTAAAATTGCAGTTGTCATAACAATTTGATGTTGCCTTTTAAGAGGTATCTTTTTATTCTTTTTACTATAATTAGAGCGTTAGTTACCATAACAACAAAATGTAATTCATGATATATAAAACCAGCACTGCAGACTTTCTTTGTCATGAGCATTTGCATTATGATAGAATTCTAGAGCTGAAAGAAGGCATGGAATCCTGTCCTCTACCTCTAGGCTTAACTGCCCAAATCAAGTAACACCAATCGTTGTCCATCTTACTTTTAAAAAGGGTCCTTGGGAATGGAGATGCCAACATTTGAGGCAGTGATATTTTCTGGTGTTTTTGGTTTTACTCTTGTAGACTACACTAAAATTGTCTTATTGGTCTACATTTTTTTCTCTTAATCCAATTTGAGAGTTTTTTAATTATAACGTATGAAGTGCAAAGTACTCTGCTGGGTACTAGGGATATGGGGATACCAAGACAAAAACAAATACTCTTTCTGCCCTCAAGGAGTTTATATTCTCCTGGTTGGTAGTGGTATTGGTGGAACAGAATAGATATGTTGACAGCAACACCCAAAATATCAGTATAAAGCAGCTATAGACTTTCAAATTATAGCATGTTATAAAAATGTTTATATGATGAAGCACAGACATGGAATCTAGAAAAAAGAAGAGTTGGTGAGAAAGAAATTTAACATGTCTCTATTTTAATTCCAAGAAAAGGGTGGTCTAATTTCAGAAAATGGTCTGCTTCCCTGTAAATGGTTACATAGAAATATTCCTGGAGTGGAAAAGGGTGAAGATATCACAACTTGATGGAAATGTTTAAGGAGATCCAGCTTCCTTTATTCGAGACCTAGAAATGTTTAGATTTCCAAAACAACTCTGAGGTACCACATCACACCTATCAGATTGGCCAACATGACAAAACAGGAAAATGACACATGTTGGAGAGGATGTGGGAAAATTGGAACACTAATACATTGTTGGTGGAGTTGTGAAATGATCCAACCATTTTGGAGAACAATTTGGAACTATGCCCAAAGGGCTACAAAAATGTGCATACCCTTTGATCCAGCAATAGCACTTCTAGGGCTATACCCCAAAGAGATCAAACAAATGGGAAAAGGACCCACATGTACAAAAAATATACATGGCAGCTCTTTTTGTGGTGGCAAAGAATTGGAAATTGAGAGGATGCCCATCAATTGGGGAATGGCTGAACAAATTGTGGTATATGAATGTAATGGAATACTATTGTGCTATAAGAAATGATGAACAGGCTGACTTCAGAAAAACCTGGAAAGATCTATATAGTCTGATGCTGAGCGAAGTGAGCAGAACGAAGAGGACTTTGTACACAATAACAGCCATGTTATGCGATGAATAAGATTGTTAAACTGAATCCATCTCAGCATTACAAGGATCTAAGACATCTCCAGAGGCCTGCCGATGGAAAATGCTGGCCACATCCAAAGAAAGAACTATGGAAGTCGAATCACTATCACTTATTTTTACGTAACTTCTGTTGAGTTTTGTTTCATCTTTCTGGTGGTTCCTCCTATTGGTTTTAATTTTTACTTACAACTTCACTAATGTGGAAATATATTTAATAGGTATGTAAATGTAAAACCTATATCAGATTGTGCACTGTCTTGGGGAGGGTGGGGGGGAGGAAGGGGAAGAAAAATTTTCAACTCAAAAGCATATGGAAGTGATTGTTGATAAATCAATAAATCAATAAAATTGGGGGGAAAAATGTTTAGATTTCTAACTTAATTCCAAAGTGAACCTACTCAACTGAAAGGGAGGGTGTAGATGACCAGTCCCAGATGTCACACCAGATATCTTTCTCATTGTAAGTTAATTCCCTGGCATTCTAGTATACAAAGTCATGCTTTAAAAAAAAAAAAGGCATATGAATCAATTCTCTAGGTGTGAACATAATCAAAATCTGGTTTCTGGCTGTCCTAAGGTAAATATTGAACCCCAGAGTAGAGAAATAACAACAGTGATAGGATTCTTTTTTTTTCTTTTTCAAATTAATTAATTAATTAATTTTTGGTTTTCAATATTCACATCCATAAGATTCTGAGCTCTAAATTTTCTCCCATTCTCCCCTCCTCGAGATGGTGTGCAATCTGATATAGGCTATGCATATACATTCATATTAAACAGATTTTCACATTAGTTATGTTGTAAAGAATTAGAACCAATGGGAGAAATGCCAACAACAACAAAGAGATCAAATAGTATGTTTTGGCTGTCCCCCTGCTCTATGATGGAGATGTCCTTATGTGGCTTGATGGGAGGCAAGAGAGACATCTCTATCCTATTCTCCACCCCACTCTTCTCTAAGGGAGCCTTTTATTACTGCTAGGAAGGGGAATAGGAGGTTTAGGCCAGAGGCTACTCTCATTTCCTCAGAGAGAAGGGGTGCCAGCTAGAATTATATTTATCTGCTACCTTAAATATTGCTAGTCAAGAAGATATAATTAAGATTAACTTAATTCCTGATTACTTTGTCATTATTGGGGAGTAAAGGACCCCAAGCTTGACCCCTTTTCCACCAAATACCAGATCCACACTGAACAACACATAGCAAATAGCAAAGAAACCCATTTATCCAAATCATAGCAAAGCAGACATCCGGGAAGGTTTACACGTGAGAATATATACCAGAGAGCACACTGTGAAGGAGCTCTCCCACTGGGAGTGAGGTAACTCAGCTAAACCAAGAAAGAGGGTCTTGGATCTCACCCAAGGGAAAATTCTCTTTAGCCTGTAGTGTAGCAGGCTTGAGATAAGGACATGATGGAGACTGCCAGAGCCACTCATGTCTTCCCAGAGTCTTTTATTTCAGCAAGCTGAAGTGGGGTTGGCCTCTTTCGTCCTTCCCTCTTGAAGCTGGCAGCCAAGAATGCCTGAAGCAAATTGACACCTGAAGAATCCCAAAGGAGACTTGAAGCTTGAAGACTGCCAAAGAGGATTGAAGAAGGCTGATGTTCTGCCCCTCTTGCCAACTCTGCCCTGCCCCTTATGCAGAGCAGGGTCTTCATTTCCACCAAATGAAGAGAGAGTTCCATACCAATGGGCTTTGGGATGGGGAGTACGCGTTCATCAAATATCAATTTACTTCTTTATAATATTCACTCATTGCTCCTCATTCTGCCCTTTAGGGTCAAGTTGAGCAAGTTAGCCCCATTTTCAGTAGGATAGCCTTTCAAATGCTTGAAAACAGCTCATGTTTTCCTCTATAAGTCATTTTTTCTCCAGGTTAATCATCAGCCATTCCTTCAACTGATCCACACATGTTATGAACACAAGGTCTCCCATTACCATAAAAATCATTCTTTCTCACCTATCCTTCCCCTATCATTTAGGCTACTTCAACCTGAATCTGATTTCTATTGTGACTTCTCAGCAATTTCACCTGGCCAAGTATAAAATTTGGAATCATTTCAATGCCTACCTTTAGACTCATACTACAGGCAAAGGAGAGGTCGACAGTAGTAGGAATGATGTTAGAGAACCACCATGATAACATTATTTGAGAGACGAGAATATATGACTACCAGTTACACTTCTGGGCTCACAGTCTGAATGGGTGGCACTGTTGTGCTCTAGAACATGCCTAAAAGCTAAGGAGAAAGAAATCACACAGGCACTGTGTTAGTTCCAAGCCTCATCAATTCTAACCCGGACTCTTGAAAAACAGTTTCTTAATTGTTCTATTTGCTTTATTTTCCCTTTCTCCAATCCAGCTGCCATAATGACCTTTCTGTAGCACAAGTCTGATTATGTGACTCCCCAGTTCAATAGCTTTCAGTGCCTTCCTATTTTCTCTGGTGTAGAATACAAACTCTTCAGCTTGACATATAAAGCCCTTGATACTTTGGCTCCAACCTTTGTAGGCTTAATGAACATTATTTCTGTTCATACACTTGATATTTGAGTCAAAACTCAGCATGCTATCTCTTGCCTCAGTGCTTCTGTTTTGGTTGTTACTTCTTCCTGAAAGGTACTCTCAGCTCTTAGGTTTAACTCAAGGTTTTTGTTGCCTCTTACCAGAAGCTTTCCCCAGTCTTCTTGCTTTTTAGTACCCTGTCTCTTTAATTAATCATGCAGTACTCATCTGTTTATATGTTGTCTCCACCCCCACCTCACCATCACTACCAGCAGAAAGTCTGTCAATTAGAGGCCAGGACATGTTTTGCCTTTGTGGCTTTGGGCCTCCAGAGTCTTGGCATGCCTTATACAAGCATATTAAGCATTTGGATTGAATTGGCCAGTTAGCCCTGGAATCTGGCTTGTCTGTGGCTGTTCTGTGAGGTTTGTTCTCTAACTTACAATATGAGCATGACAGCAGAGCCCAGGTGGTTCCTGTGTGATACACCGCAAGCTTCCCATGTTTACTAAATTCTGAATGATAATTTGTGATTCTTCTTCTTTGTGAAACATCTGCAGTGAGTACATGGGCAGAGCCACTCACAGAGAAGATGACATTCTGGGAGGCTAGAACCCAAATATATTCCTA